CTTTGGGAACTTAATCTACATGCACGTACGGGCCCCATTTCCCAAAATGGGCGCTCTTACCCGTGTGGTTCCCACGTACGGGCCCGTGAAAACTTTTGTGGGTAATTTGCTAACTTGGGAACCTGATAAACTTGAAGACTGTAATTTTAAGGAGATTTTTTCAGACAGCCCTGGTGGCCAGTCTCAATTCTTTTAGCTAGATGCATCTGCCGGAAAAACAGAGCCGTTAGCGACAAAAACTGCGAGGAATTGTGCAAAAAACGCATCTTCACACCGGCAATCAGTGCGATGGCTAACTTATCTTCTCCTGTAACAGTTGAGAAATCGGATAATTAATCCTACATTATCATCGGTTTTTTCGGATATTTTTTGAGCATTTCAGACGAAATCGAAATTGACAGTGAACGTCTGCTGGATGAGGGTGATTTGTACAGCATAGTGAGTGATGACGAAAAGCCGAGCCGAGTGGAGCGATCCAGTTCATCGACATCCAGCCTGAGCTCCGTTGTGCTACCACCAATACGTAAAGGAACGAAAAAGCTGCCAGTGAATATGTATGCAATTGTTGCAGCTCTAGTAGCCCTGCTTTCTTTTGTAGTCTACATACTCATGAAGGCACTATCTTCTTAGTGCGGTTGCAAGCAACAGTTTTATAGTTGCTAAACTTCTTCTTTGAGAGCGCATAGATTCTATCTTATAATGGAGCAAAAACGCATTTTTAGTTGGATTTTTGAGTTCTGGTGACGCGCAGTTTAGTGCCCGCAAAAAATTTTCTAAAGGCCGTAAGTGGTACCCGAGAGCGCGAGAACGCTGAATTTGAATTTGCAGAATCGTTCTTGGACAGGGGGGTCATTATCCTAAAATTTCACCTTCTTATGCATACTTCTAATTCTTGCTTTGTTTGATTGCGATTAACTTGTGATTTAGGTTTTTCTGTAAAAAAAAAGATTTAAGGCTACTATTTTTGAAAGTGCCAACCATCCATTAACTATCAGCTTAAAATGATTGTCTTTTTTCTGTTTTTGTGCGTTTTGTGCTGTACAACAACTGTACAAAACGTATATTGTGACGGGGTTGTCTGTGTGTGTGTTTGTATGTGTGTGTGTTTATGTGAATGTGTGTGTTTGTGTGTATGTATGTGTGTTTATGTATATGTGGGTTTATGTGTATGTGTGTTTATGTGTATGAGTGTTTATGTGTATGTGTGTGTTTGTGTGTATTTGTGTACGTATGTTTGTGTGTGTGTGCGTATATGTATGTTTGTGTGTGTGTGTGTGTGTGTGTGTGTCTGTCTCTGCAACAACTTATTTACTCTGCTCTG